GGGCCCGCTTGGTCAAAACCCGAAATTCGGACCAAAATCCAATCACTCATTCACCCCCGAGCCTGGATATACAATTGGTTTTGGAATCCGACCTCAATTTGAGGTCTAAATCCTCAAGTTTCGAAATTCCTAAGTTCTACCCAAAAATCCCCAATTCGACCATGAAAACCCCCAGATTCTAGGATGAAATCTTGTGAAAAGAAGTAAAAGATTGAAAGAACGGATCCAAGAATCACTTACATATGATTTGCGGAAGAAGTGGTTTTTAGAAAATCGCCCCTTGAGGTTTAGGTTTTGAAAATTTGGGAAATTAATCAAAAATCCCGTCTAAGTCCCTTTTTGCACAGTTGTAGATGTCGCAATTGCGAAGCTCGCAAATGCGAGACTGGCATCACAAATGCGAACCTGTCGCATATCTGCTACTATTGCAAATGCGAACTAATTGTCGCAATTGTGAAGGACCCCCTTCCCCTGACCACTCCGCAAATGCGAAGGTTGTTCGCATTTGCGAACATAGGCTGGCCCAACTTCCTTCGTATTTGCGATGAAAGCCCCGCAAATGCGACCTCCACAATAGTCGCAAATGCGAACCTTGACCTCACATTTGCGAGGTCTGAGGCCTGCAACACTGCTGAAGAACACCAGCAACTTTTCTAAGTTCCAAATCACTCTGTAGCCTATCCAAAACTCACCCGAGCCCTCGGGGACCCAAACCAAACATGCACACAAGTCTTAAAACATCATACAAACTTGCTCGTGCAATCAAATCGCCAAAATAACACCTAGAACTACGAATTTAGCACCAAATTGCATGGAATTTTCAAGAAAGTTTTAAAACTTCTATTTTCTTAACCCAAGGTTCGAATCACGTCAAATCAGTCCCGTTTCTCACCAAATTTCACATATAACGTATAAATATCATAACGGACCTGTACCGGGCTCCGGAACCAAAATACGGGCCCGATACCAAAAATTATTATTTCTTCAATTTTTCACATAAAAGCTTTCTAGATACACGCCCCGACTGCCCACGCAAATCGAGGAGGAATAAAATGAAGTTTTGAAGACCTAGGAACACGGAATCGAGTTCTAAAACATAAGATGACCCTTTGGGTCATCACAGATTAGGATATCTGGCGTTTTAAGAAGAGGCTAGCAATGAAACTTGAAGATTTTCAGAAGAAGAACTTGAAAAATGCAAAGATCTTTGCAGATTAGAGCAGAAGAGATTAAAAGTAAAGTTTGAAAAAGTGGAAAAGAGGCCTATTTATGGGTTTCAAGGCGACGGTTCAAAGTTGCTAGTGGCCGACCAGCAACTAACGCGCCTTAAATGCCTGGGAAACCGAACCGACGGGACGTTTCAGTCACCTCTACCGCTTACATCATGATAAATCGAGGATAAATTCGAAGGCTCAATTCATTTCTTGTCGTTACATTCCAAAAAATGAGGGGACTATCTATATACGGTTAAAATCGAGCCCATCCGATTTTACTGATTGACCGAGACCGGGGGATGGATCGAGGATCAGCCCCATAGCATATCTGGCTGAGATATAAGGATAAGGCACCGAGTTCGGGATTCGAGGTACCTAGCAAGATCAAAACTAGTATTGATCGAGGTCGAATGGGACAAACATAGAGCAAGACCGAAGATAGCATAATAAGGGAAAGGCGAGATAACCGTGACTGGTCGAAGATCATGGCAAAAATCTCAGAACAGATCAAATCAAGGGCGGTTGTTTAGCTAATCATGGGATTTACTTCTGTAATTAGAATTGTACCATAGATAGGATTCCTCTACTATATAAAGAGGGTTCTAATCATTTTGTAACAACCTTACATTCACGCATATCAAAGCAATATACCATATTTTATTCCTTGCAAGCTCTGTTGTTCAGTTCATATATTCATTCGCTTGTTCAGTTGATTCGAGGGCTATTAGCTCGAGGGTCATAATCGTTCATCATATTTGTTTGCTTTATTTTACTGTAATTTCTATCATCAATTCTTATATTTATCATTTGTGCCAAGTGAAATCACATATCCTTAAAACCACTTCTATATTCAATTATTATCCGATTTTAAGGGTAAATAGTACCAAACATAGAACAACATTTTTGGTAGTACATGCCACTTTTTATTTTATTTTATAATCTAGACATCATCATAAATCAATTGATAGATTTGTTATCTTTTTGAAAATTGATGATTGATGTTTGTTCTTTATGATTTTTGGAACTTATGTTTCAAATTTGTGCTCATTTGAAAAACTTTTGGGTGTTGAATATATGTTGAATTATTGAAATTCAAAGAACAAGTTGCTATTTTTGGGCAATTGAAAATCAAGCATAAATGCCTAAATTTTAGCTATATGTGGCTAAAGTGCACGCAAAAAATTGTTGAAGCGTCAGCCATTTATGGAGGAAATGCACAAAAAAATATGACTTAAACGCATGCAGAAAATGTCTATAAGAATTGATCCCTGTTCATCTTGGTCAACAACCCAACCTTTGCACAATTCAAATTTCTTGGAGAATGAGTGCCAACAGTTAATATTTTACCAATTTTAGAACATATATATATATATAATATCTAATTTTACAGAGATCATGAGTTCACGTACCACATAATATTGCCTATAAATTCGCCCTTGTCGGTACTTCATCCATATTTGGCTGAAGTTCGGTCATGTATGTGACTTAGCAACTTCAGATAAAATTTATAACTTTAAACAACGATTCTAGAAAATTTAAACTTCGGCTACAACCAGGGCGGCTCTAAAGTCTAAGCTAGTGAGGCCATCGCCTAAGGCCCCCAAAAATTGAAGGCCCCAAATTTTCTTTTAACTCTTATTATTATTATTACTGTATATAATTTATATAAATATTTTTTATAAAGAAAAGTGTTACATTATATTTTTTGTTATTTGATTAAGGTTATTTTATACTAATAAATTCATAAATTATGATAAAATTTTCACTTATTAATTAATATATTTGCTTCACTCTTCAATTTAATTTAATTTTTTTATATTGAAATTAAGTTATATATATTGACAACATAATGAATCTTTTTGACAATCTTCTCTGAAACTGCATGAACACAAAAGCATTCATGCACCAGTTTTCTTTTAGTGTAGTTCAACATATTATATTAGGTTATTTACAATTTATTTTAGATATTCACCAATAAGTGCTACTAATTAATTGAATGACACAATTATCATTTAAATTGATCAAAAGAGTAAATATTTTTTACACCGTCAATGCTCAAAACATAAGCTATTACGTTATGTATATTTATTTCTTTTTTCTTGATTGTAATGATAGTCAAATCAAAATTTTCACTTTGAGTTATGGACCTCAACATATGACAATCCACCACTTTATTATTTGCAATCTTCTTCCCCTTCTTTTTTTGAAGTTCGCTATTTTTTGTCTTAAATGATTAATATGTTGTTTAGAAAACAAAATTTGTTGTTAGTGTAAAAAATTTATAAATTGAAGAAAAATTTCAGAAACCACTATGTTTTAGTGATTATTAGCTTGCTATAGCTATCATTTACTAAATTACTTCCTATAGATATGTTTTCAGTTGTTATAGACTGTATTCGATGTATTTTTGCTATTGTATTCATGAATACAGTAACAAAACTCAGCGAAAAACAGGGGAATCCAGCTAATCAGAGAATGTATTCGAGCGTATTCGTGAATACAGTAACAAAATTTGCGAAAAAAAACTCTTGAGCTGTTTAAAAACGGTAAGTGAATCAACTAACGCGATAGACTCCTAATATAACTCAACGAACTCAATTATAACACACAAAATTTGTATTTTCAGTTATAGAAAAGATTCTCAACCGAAAAACACCCAAAAAATAGAGCAATCTTCAGAGATTCAATCCATCCTTTCTTTTTTTAGTGGTATCTTTACTAAAATATTTTTTAGTGGTATCTGTACAAATAGTTTTATATATTAAAATTATATAATTGCATTGAATACAGTTAAATACATAAAAATACATTGAATACATGAAGTATAACAGGTCATCTATAGTGCAAAAATATAGGAATACATACTGTAGATACATTTGAATACATATATACATTTGAATACGTAAATTATATTAATTAAAAAAACATATGAATACATTCATGCAATACAACGAGAAGGTGAATACAATGAAATACATGGAATACAGCGAGATACATTGAAATACAATGAAAAAAAAGGTAACAAACTCTTCAAGTTCCTCAGCCCCAAATTCCGTCCCCAATCCACTGATATCCAGGCCGCCGCCATGTGGGGCGTCGATGCCGGTTACATGAAGACAGTTGTTGAAGAAGTACCAATTTAAAGGATCAAACGGAAACTAGAGACAGAACTTCTTCATATCTCACAAGGCAAACATGAACAATCAATGCAAAATTTAAAAAAACTTTAGAATGTGTAACACAACCGTGTGAAAGAAATCGCCAGCCGTGGGAGGGGGTTAGGGGTGACACAACAAGGAAGGGGGGAAGTGGTCGCCGGCCGGATCTGTCATTGACGGAACACAGCCCCTGCTAGGGTTTCTAAAGGCAGGGGAGGAAAAAACGGGGGAAAAAGAGAAGAAAGAGGAAAGAGAAAGGAGGAGCGAGGGAAGAGAGAAGGAGAGAAAAAAAAATAATACACAACATATTTAATAGTTTAAAGGTAGAAAGTGACCATAAATAGATATTTTGCTATAAAAATTAAAAGTTAGCTATAAAAAATAATTTTTTTTAAAATATTTATTTATAATAAATAAGGTATCAATCTTATTATAAAAGGTAAAATTTCGTAAAATAAACTCAAAGGCCTCAATATAGTTTCTCTTGGGTCACAAGATCCATAGACCCGTTCCGAACTACCGCTTAAACAACGATTCCAAAATCGGATCCCCATTCCACTCTAGGTAAATTGGCCCAAAATCTCTAAGCCTTAGACCTCTACTTCCAAAAGACCAATAAAGGGGAGAGAAACACTCAAACACAAAATTGAAAATTTATCAAAAAGCGGGAAGCACGTGAACAAACTTAGATGAAAGACACGTATTAACACTGAGCCGAAACGTTCTCTTTTTCCTCTGACTCTCTCCCCACATGGTGGCACACACACTATATTCAAAGCTTGTCACTTTCACAGAAATTGTCAGTTCAACAACATTTACTGCCTAGCAAATTAGCATATTTTTTTTGAGTGTGATCGCTAGTTTCTGGTTTCTTCAAATTTCAAACCCTAATTTAGATTCTTGAAAAAAAATAATCACTCAATGTGGCCAGCTTTGGTAGTTGCAGCAGCAGCAGGATCTGGTTTTCTAGCCAAGAAAATATTTAAGCAAAATGCTGCTGAACCCACTTCTGTTTACACTGAAACTAACATAAAATGTGGTAAAGATTCAAGCTTTATCACTAATCATGAAATTAACAGTAAACGTGATAAACCCAATGACACAGAAGAAGGGTTTAAGGCCTCTTTTCAGCATAAAGAATCAAGCTTTGCATGTAATCTTGACTGCAGCATTCAAGAACAGATTGAGGGGTTTTCTCATGATTCAATTTTTAGGTTTTCTAGTGCTTCTGGTTCTGAAATGGGGTGTAGGAATTCGAGGAAGCAAAGTGTGGAAGGTTCTAGAAAGAGCAAAGGGAATGCAATGGAGTGTAAGAGAAATAATGGTGGGAAGTTAGGAAAAAAATGTGGAAATGTAAGGGGTGGTGAAAAGGAATTGTTTATGTTGGATAAGAGGAAGAGTGGGAATGGGAATGGGAATGGGAATGGGAATGGGAATGGGAAGAGATTTTATGTTTGTTTGAAGAAGAGGAGAACTAATAAGGTTCCTTCAGGGAAATGCGATTCCTGTGCTTCTAAAGGTATGCATTGTCCTAAAAACGTCTTCTTTACATTAAAAACTTGTTTTTTTCTTCTTTAGGATCAATAGTTGGTGTTTTTTGCAACCATGCTTTAGTAAGGATTGTGTTTGGATTTCTGTTGTGGATTATATTTTCTTGTTTTTAGTTAACTAGTATCCATTAATTCGGCTTTTTGTTGTTCACAGAAATACCAATGGCTCACAAATTATAATGTACTGGTTCAGATTTGTGTTTATCTATTGTGAGTAGAAAAGGGCAGCCCGATGCACGAAGCTCCCGCTACTCGGGAAGGGCCGGATCACAAGGGTCTATTGTACGCAGCCTCACCTTGCATTTGGGCAAGAGGCTGTTTCCACAGTCTGTTCTACTTATCTAATGTAAGTAGAAAAGGGTAGCCCGATGCACTAAGCTCCCAGGGAACGCGGGACCCGGGGAAGGGCCGGACTACAAGGTCTGTTGTACGCAGGTTTACCTTGCATTTGGGCAAGAGATTGTTTCCACGATCTATTCTACTTTTCTAATGTAAGTTGAAAAGGGTAGCCCGATGCACTAAGCTCCCGCTAAGCGCGGGACCCGAGGAACGTGGGACCCCCGGAAGGGCTGGACCACAACGGTCTATTGTATGCAGCCTTGCCTTGCATTTGGGCAGGAGGCTGTCTCCACGGTCTATTCTACTTATCTAATGTAAGTAGAAAAACTCAAATTGGAATCATCATGGTCGAATCCTCTTATGTTCAAAGTTTGCTTGAAGGAGTATTGGATTTTGAAGCATAGAACTTGGTGGTTCCAAGTAATGGGATCATTTGTTTTTATGACGGTGGTGTATGGGCCAGCTTGCGCGCACCTCGACTAAATCCACCTGGTACATACTATCTCCCACCAGTTCAAGGTAATGGGATCATTTACTTTGGGCAGAAATTTGTCAAAGGAGTTATAAAATTGCAGAGGGCAGAGTTACTTTTGTACATTGTTTAGCATAGCTCTACTAGATATTGGTAACGTCTTCCTTATGTTCGGAATGTGTTAAATTCTTCAAATAGAAAAGGACAGCGGAGTATCTGCACTGGTCACTGCCTAGCTCATATTCATTAGCTATGTGGTCTGCTTTCCAATATTCATCTACTCGGTCTTTCTTTTACTTGAATGCGGTGAGAAGGTTTTTTTGAGGTCCTCTTCTGTAGTGAGTTTGACCAGTAGTACCAGCAGTAGAGATAATGATAATCTGCATTTTGATACATCAATGGAACACCTTTTTTGTGGTTAAATGGCTCTGCTTGTGTCTGGTAAACTGCTAGTAGAATAGAGAGTCAAAACAAATTTTCACTGGATTGTGGAGATAATCAGTATGAGACCAAATCTCAATAAACTATTTTGGTCGTTGGGTGCACTGTCTTCCATCACTTTATTATCATATGGCTCAATGCAAACTCCTATCTTATTGGTCGACTAGAAGATGTGACTGAAATTTGCTATTTGCATGTTATTTTGACAATCTTGTTTGAACGAATAGAAGGGGAGCCTTGGCGTAACTGATAAAGTTGCTGCCATGTGACCAGTAGGTCACGGGTTCGAGCCGTGGAAACAGCCTCTTGCAGAAATGCTGGGTAAGGCTGCGTACAATAGACCCTTGTAGTCCGGCCCTTCCTCGGACCCCGCGTATAGCTGGAGCTTAATGCACCGGGCTGCCCTTTTGTTTGAATGAATATTCTTCTCTTGTATTAAGTTGCCCCAATTAGATGAACCTAATTCCTTAATATGTTTTACGTTTCCAGGTAATTCCTTTTTCGGTTATGGACTAGGAATTGGAATGATGTGCATGATGTCAGCTGGGAAATCTGAGATCAATAGGCTCAATTTTACCATGAATGAAACTGCAAAAGCTGTAGAAGAATTAAAAGCTGAACTTTCTAGGAGAAAAGTTGCACATGACCTACATGCTTCAAAAAATAAAGCTGAAACAAATAAAAAGAGTGATGGAGAATGCATGATACGTACCTTTCCTGAGACTAGCACCGAAAACAGGAATAGTTTTAGAGCAGTAGATCACCAGGTGGCCGAGGAAGGTGAATGTGCAAGCAGTGTCGTTACAGAAGAGCCGCAACTTGAGGTAATGGAAATGGATCAGTTGGAAGCGGAGCTCGAGTCCGAGTTACAAAAGCTTCCATGGTGTGCTACTGAAGGTACAGATTTGGATGGAGGAAGAGATCCTTGTAAGGTGAGCTCAATGTGAAATAAATTTCCTCTACATGGTCTTGTCTAACCTCTTCCACTTGTGGGAATACACTGGGTCGTTGTTGTTGGTCTTGTCTAACCTCCTTATTTTCTCAATCCATATTGATTTGTTTGTCTTTCTTCCTTGTCGGGTGTGAAAATAAGCATTTCCTTCTTGTCCTCTCCACTCAACCGCTCTCTGTGTTATCAATCTACAATTTCGTAGTTTTCAACCTTTTTAATGATTTCTACCTATATTTGTGAACTAGTACATTTTCGTTGGGTCCATTCGAAGCAAATTTTACTAAAAATCTTCTTAAGCTCCATCTGGATGTAAGACATTTAAATTGTTATTTGCAAAAGGACACTACTCCCCCAATCCACAACGAGTGATGGAGTTCGGAGTAAGATGGTTGAAACGTCTAATTTCGGCGTGAAATAGGCACGATTCCTTAATTTCTTAAATAAAATTTACATGTTCAGAAATTATTTTAAGTCATAGTTCTTACCAAAAAAAAAAATTTAAAAATGTTTGGAAAAATCATAGTCAGAGGGAATATTTTGATTCACCAAATAGTTATAGGGGCAGATAAACAGATACAAATGTATTCCATATGTACTTATCAAGTAACTTGGGGGCTGTTTGCTTTTTTTTAAGATTAAGATGTCTGAATCTGGATTCACATTTGAATACTAATATGTTGTATTTAGATCTGAATATTGAATGATTAGAACTGTTTGTTTTCTCAATATCCGAATATTTATAAATTAATAAATGAAATTCAAATAAAATAATTTAAATATTATATCCACAAATTATGAGGTAGTAAGTTGGTGGTTGGCCGGTGGCGGTGATAGTGGTCGTGGTGGTGTTGATGGTGGTTGTGCAATGGTAGAGGTGGTTGGTGGTAATGGCTGTGGTGATGTTGATTGGAAATGTTAGTGGTGTCGTGGTGGTTAGTAGTGGAGATAGTTGTGATGGTGGAGGTAATTGATGCGGTAGTGACTGGCGGTGGTGGTTGGCAACAACCGAGGCGGTTGTAGTCGTGGTTGAGAGTGGTGGTTGGTGGTAGCTGATTATCGTGCACTGGTTATTGGTTGTGGTTGTTGATAGAGTGGTGGTGCAAAATCATTCACAAAAATCTTTGAATAGCCTCTTAATAATGTTAAAATTGTTCGAAAAATCTGAATCATTCAGACCTATTAAGTGGTTAATCTTAAAGGAAAAATAAATGCACTTAATGGTCTGAGGTCTAAACCATTCCGTTTCTTGCCTCCATTAAGTGCAAATAATGTCTCATTGTTAATATCTATCCTTTTTACTAATCATTTTCAAGGGTTTTCAAACAATGAGGCCTTAGTCTCATTGTTAATATCTATCCTACTACTATAGTTATATGTCTTAACAGTAGATGGGTTCACTAATATTTTCTATGATCAAATTTAGATGGTAATTGCCAAGTCATCATTTTCCCATGTCCAATTTTGCAATTGGTCAATCCATAGACTCTTGTGCTCCGGCCCTTCTTCGGACCCTGCGCATAGCGGGAGCATAGTGCACCGGACTGCCCTTTTTATTCTTGTTACGAGGTAATATGAATTTGAATTAAATAAAGTCACATAGACGCAAACAATAGTTAGAAATTATTCTTAGGTTAGGTTGTTTGGACTTAAATGACAAAGCTAATACATCCATTTTCTACCTAGAAATGGTTGGACAGCCCCTCATGGCCTATGATTAATCCATGCAACCACTGCAGCAAATCAAATGGGATTTTCTCTGTTACACATCTAAATTTGATTTATCATTCTCATAATGGCCTACATATCTTATTTGTGTTTAATTGCAACTGTATATGGCAGTGCTGATACTTTTCCGATATCATTAGGAGTATTCATGTATAGTCCTTTTGAGTTTTGTGGTGAGTTCAGATAAATGGCGACAACAGATTAAAGACAATACACTCCCTGCCAACTTAAGGCGCCTATTTCATCTTTATTACCTAATTTCATTTGTAACTGTTGATTTTTGCTGTACAGGATGTCTTCCAGGAGAAAGACTTTAACTTAGCCGATGACCGCAACGCGGAAACTTATCAATTCAGTGGTGTATTGCCATCTGAACTGGATCAAAAGCTGTGTCATCTGCTCATTGAACAACAAGAAAGCCAGATAGTTGAACTGGAATCTGAGCTGCGCCAAACTCATTCCAAACTCCATGAGAAAGAAGCTGAGCTCCAAACGCTCAAGGATTGTGTCCGACGTCTCACTGAATTTTCTCTAGGCAGTGCTTCAGGTATCACTACTTTTCGTCGTGCCCAAGTATATTAAGTACTAACAAGTGCCCCATCTTAATTCAGATGAATTATATTCCCCTTTCGATCCTTTTATAGCCAAAATAAATAAATTGTTCCAATAAATTTGTCATTTTAGAAAACTAAGAAGTCACTCTTACTATTCCAAGACTATAATGGTAACTTAGTTAAATATCCCTTATGATTAATACTATCAGATAGTTTTCTTGGATGTGCCAAAACTTTAAACGGGAGTATATAGTTGCAATCCTCCTCCCTCAACCTAAAGATAACAACAATACCAGCAACTATGTTTCTTCAATCTCAAACTAGTTGAGATCGACTGTCAACCCTGAAGCGAAAAAGCAAGGAGCAAAAAGTTCCATGTTTTGGCTTAGCAACAATATACAACAGTCACTTTTTTCTATTTATATTTGGTAGCCGCAAAGTATATAAATTCTGTATATTTTTGTATATAACATACAGAAATGTGTATATATACAAAAAGAAAATATATATTTTTTCCGCTATTATTTTGAGAGCGGCTATATAATATCATTTTCTATTAAAATTTTGTTTTCTTATTCTTAAAAGTTTTTGTTGATGATTTCTATTTCTTATCATTCCTGGGATGTTTTTCCAGATGAAGAGACTGATGGCAAAATGGATGATGATATCATTAATGGTGGGGATCAAGAGAAGCACGTAGGACCTGAATCAAGAAAATCAATAGTTGGGATGAAAAGATCAATGAACTTTTGAGTATATTACAAAGTAACGTATTATGGTTATTATGGTTCACAAATATAAACTGTTGGATTGTACCAAGTGAAAAAGATATATTGATAGTTCAATCATCTGTTAACTTTAGTTTCTAAAATCTGTGGGCCATTTTTGTAACATCACAGAGGGGGAAGGGAACAGAAAAAGGGAAAGACAAAAACTTTGAAAAGATGTAAATTTCTACGAGTATTACTGTAGTGGAACTGTGTAAGCACTGTTTTTGAGGTCTTTTCATCCTAATATTGAAATATAAAAAAAGGACAGTCACGTACACTAAGCTACACGCGGAATCGAGGAAGGCCGGACCATAAGGGTCTGTTGTATGCTCTCTTACTTTGTATTTTTGTAAAAGGTTGTTTTCACGGTTATGGTCCCATGGTGCATTAAGCTCCCGCTATACGCGGGTCCAAGGAAGGGTCAGATCACAAGGGTCTAGTGTACTCCGTTTTACCTTGCGTTTTTGCAAGAAGCTGTTTCCACGGTTCGAATCCGTGACCTCCTGGTCACATGACAACTTTATCCTAGGCTCCCCTTTCAAGAGGGTGTTTGCAAGAGGCCGTTTTTACGGCTCGAACCTGTGACCTCCTAGTCACATGGTGTACTAAGCTCCTATTATACGCGGGGTCAGGGGAAGGGCCGGATTATAAGAGTTTATTGTACACTGCTTTACTCTGTATTTTTGCAAGAGTTTGTTTCTATGGCTTGAACCGATGACCTCCTAATTACATGACAATAACTTTATCAGTTACGCCCGAGACTCCCCTTCTATCCTAATATTGAAAGATATTGTACATTATTATACTCCTAGGTCATATTCTGAATTGATTGCTTTCCTAGTGTCTAGAGCTATTTAACATCTTTTCAGTTGGATGATTCTTTGATTGACTTGTTACCCTCTTTTCTTGTCCTCTTGGGTTCAAGCATTTTCATAAATGCCACAAGGATTTCTGAAATTTTAGTTGACTTTCTGTTTTCTTGTATAGTGCTAAATTATTCTACTGACATTTTATGTATATAAAAGTACTGACTTGCATGTGCATTCAGAGAAGTTGGTCTCCAAACCCATGGTGGTAAATTTGAGAATTTCCCTTTTTATATTTCTGCTAAGTAATTCGTTGAGAATTTGGGCATCTTTTACTTTTTATTAACAATTTTAACTATTAAGTTTAGGCAGATAAAAAAAAAATTTGGTATGCGGATTACGGTAGGATAAGGTGAGATTATATTTATAATGTATTTGTTTGACGGTATAAATTAATCATGTGTGAGATTATACTTATATTGTGTTTGGTTGACGTCAATCAAACATAGTATAAGTTTAATCCGAGACTTAATCTTGGATATCCCACCTTATCCCATCAAACTTGGGATTATATTATCTCACCTCCCAAGAGGGATAAGTTGGTTAAAGAATTATAAAACTAGGACTATAATCTCGAGATAATTTAGTCTGCGTACAAAATGACCCTTTACAGTACCTAGGGCCCGTTTGGCCATAAGAATTTTTTTCACCTTTTTCTGAGAAAAATTTACTTATTTTTTCCGGAATTAGTTTTGTCCATGAAAATTTTAAATTTCACTTGAAGTTGTATTTCAGAATTTTTCGGAAATTTGAAAAACTCCAAAAAATTATTTTTCAAAATTTTCACTTCAAATTACTCACGAGAATTCAAAAACATCTCCAAATTCTATTCATGTCCAAATACAACTCTAATTTTCAAAGTCCGTTTTTTTTTTTGAACTTTCTCCGGAATTTTACAATTGACAATTCCTATGTCCAAAAGCCCACTTAAACGCACCAAAATTTCTGTAAAAATTGCACAGGGCGCCCTATTTGGGCGCCCCCTTTTAACCTGTAGCCGCTTTGTCTTTCTGTTTGCACCTGTACCCACTTTTTAAAAAACTTCAGCTTCCCTTTCTCCTCCCCTTCTCCTCCTCCTCCTCTTCTTCTTCTTCTTCTTCAATACCACAGTTCTTGCTCTTCACTGTAGTTAGTGTTTGAGATAAGCCTTTACAAATAGAATATGAGATTGGAACTTGCTAGTTTCATGCTTTGCGGTAACTGAAGAAGATAGATTTTCTGGATTTAGCTTTGCACGATATGTAATCGTCAGATTTTCATTGACCATTCAAACAAATTTTAACGGGAGATAATATGTAGCTACTTAAACATGATATTTCAAGACTATCCGCCAAAAATTGCTAGATATTTCCATGTAATTCCTTTGATGAATGTACAAGAAACAGTACAAGAAACAAAGACAAAAACTTCAGCTCTAGAGCTGAAGTTTCCTAGTTACAAAATAGAAAAACTTCAGCTCTAGAGCTTAAGTTTTTATTTTATAACTGGAAAACTTCAGCTCTAGAGCTTAAGTTTTTATTTTATAACTGGAAAACTTAAGCTCTAGAGCTTAAGCTTTTATTTTATAACTGGCAAACTTCAGCTGTAGAGCTGAAGTTTTCCCGGGTTACAAAGACAAAAACTTCAGCTCTAGAGCTTAAGTTTTTATTTTATAACTGAAAACTGCTTAAGTTTTATTTATAACTGAAAAACTTAAGCTCTAGAGCTTAAGTTTTATTTTATAACTGGAGCTTAAGTTTNAGAGCTAGAAGTTTTCCAGTAACTAAAAGAAAACTTCAGCTCTAGAGCTTAAGTTTTTATTTTATAACTGGAAAACTTAAGCTCTAGAGCTTATGTTTTTATTTTATAACTGGAAAACTTAAGCTGGAAAACTGCTTAAGTTTTTATCTTATAACTGGAAAACTTAAGCTCTAGAGCTTAAGCTTTTATTTTATAACTGGCAAACTTCAGCTGTAGAGCTGAAGTTTTCCGGTTACAAAGACAAAAACTTCAGCTCTAGAGCTGAAGTTT